GAGTTAAAAATCAATGTGGTAGCCACGGACAGATTATATGAAAACCCAAGAAAAAAGACAAAGAACAAGAGACTTGAGGTATATTTGTTCTAATGAGCAGGGGGAGAGAGTGACGCCGGACTCCACGACACGGACTCCTTGGGGGGGGGGGCCAGGGGGGAGCCGAGTGACCTCCCAGGGGGCCTCGAGGGGCGTTTCCAGGGCCCAGGCTTCCTCGCTGGAGCGGCGCCTTGGGGCTCCTGGCCCCGCGCCTCCCTGCGAGGGCGGCGGCGCTGGTCCTGCCGGGAGCCCGGCTTTCTCGGGTGCCCCCCCCCTAGTCTGGCAGGGGAGGCGGGAAGGGAGTCAGCCCGGCAGCGGGGTGGACGGGAAGCCGACGGGTGGCGCGGGGCCTCTGGGTGAAGCGCTGGAGCGGAGAAGGGGGCGGGTCGAGGCCGGAGGGGCCGCTGTCTGAGGGGACCTGTTGCGACCCCGGGGAGGAGCGGGGACACCGAGGCCTGGGCGCCTCCTGAAGGCGGCAGAGGGGGCTCTGCGCCCCGAGGCCCCTCTCAGCCCGCGTCCCCCAGGCCCTTCCTGTGGAAATGGCCGCGCTCTTGACTCACTCACCTTCACTGGGGCGCCTCCTTGCCGAGGACCGAGGGGGGGAGAGCCCCCGGAAACCCACTGCGCCTCCCGTGGCCCCCTGAGCAGGGCCCGCCTCCTCACTGGGCGAGGAGCGCTGACCGGGAGCGGGCGGGCGGGCGGGCTGGTGACCGCAGAGCCGGGGACACAGACCCTGGAACGAGTGCGGCGCCCCGGGGCTCAGCGGGTGGCGCAGGTCCCAGGCAGCAGGGGGTCCTGGTTCCTTCCGGTCGGCGCACCTGCCCGGGTTTCGGGCCCATCCCCAGTCCCGGCCCATCAATGATGTTTCTATCCCCCCGCCCCCCCTAAAAACAAAACACTTTTTTTAAAAGACAAGAAAGCTAAACACTAAATCAAAAGGAAGTTAGATCTGGAACTAGGGAAGCACATGCTATAGAAATGACTCCTCCCATCAGCAGAGACAAGTGGAAGACAAGAGGGTTTGTCTTGTAGATTAGTGATAATGGCCTTAAATAATGGTCTGAATCTAGACAGGAGGAGGAGGGATTTCTGCTAATGTGGGTAGAAGAAAAAACTCGGCCCTGGCTGGTGTTGCTCAGTGGCTAGAGCGTCAGCCTGCAGACTGAAGGGTCCCGGGTTTGAGTCCAGTCAAGGGCACGTGCCCGGGTTGCGGGCTCCATCCCCAATGGGGGGCGTGCAGGAGGCAGCCGATCAATGATTCCCTCTCATCAATGTTTCTATCTCCCTCTTGGAAACATTATATATAGAAAAAACTTGGGCTGTCAAAGAAATAAGTAAACCTGAGTCAGGAATCTGATATTCAATTCACCTTCTTAAAATATGTAGTAAGTCTGTGCTGATCTAAGGACCTGAAATGTAATAATTAAAAACAATCATATATTTTTAAATCTGTGGATACTTGGAAAGTTTTGCTCCATTGTCTTAATTTAGATCCCAAGTATTTTTCCCCTCTAATTTAACAGTAAATCTTTTCTGAGTATCTATTAGGTGCCATGTACAATTTCTAGATTCTGGGAACATAGCAGTAAACAAAACAGACAAAAATTCCTGTTCTCAAAGAGGTTAACATTATATTCCAGCAGGCCTGGGTGTGCTTGCTGATGTAAAACAAGATAAAATATATAGTGTATTAGAATGGTGATGTGCTGTGGAGAAAAAGCAAGGGAGAGATACAGTGGTTGTTGAGGTATGATTTTGAATAAATAATCGAGAGAGCACCTAAAGGAGGTGGGGAGGCCTATGATGTTGGTATCTGAGCAAGGAGTGAACCAAGTGGAGGGAACAGGGAGTTGAAGTTGGGGTGTGCCCAGCAAGGGGGAGCAGCAGTGAGAAGACCCATAAGGGGTGTGGGATAGAGTGCAGATGAGAGGCAAAGCTGAGGGGAGATTGCAGAGGACACTGAAGGCGATCGGGAGCACGCTGCCTTGTGTGTTGAGGAGGGTAAAGCAGTGGAGCAATTGAGCAAAGGGGTAACCTGACTTAAGGTTCGAGTGACTGACTGCTTTGTAGAGAAGAGAATGTGAAGTGGGATAAGGGGAAACCAGTTTGGAGGTCATTGCAGCCGTCCAAGCTGGTGGCAGTAGAGTAGGGGTGTCAGGTTTAGCAAATAAAAGTATAGGCGACCCGTTTGGTAAAGTACATCTAACCACTGTGCTGTACACCTGAAACCAATACAAAATTATATTGAAAATTATAATTGAAAAATTAAAAAAATATAGGAACCTAGTTAAATTTGAATTTCAGGTAAACAATTATATATATTATACTAGTGGCCCAGTGCACGAATTCGTGCACATTGAAAGGAAAATAATTAGAATATTTTAATATCGCTATTTGCCCTTTCTCTATAATAGAAGTGTCAACCAAATTCATGACTGACAGTGACAGATGGAAACACGTGTGCGATTGGCGCCAGCAAGAGCTTTATATGTATCGCACGTGCACGAGTCAACTTAGCCTTTTATAGATATAGAACAGGGGTCCTCAAACTACGGCCCGCGGGCCACATGCAAATACAAATATTGTATTTGTTCCCATTTTGTTGTTTTACTTCAAAATAAGATATGTGCAGTGTGCATAGGAATTTGTTCATAGTTTTTTTTTAAACTATAGTCCAGCCCTCCAACGGTCTGAGGGACAGTGAACTGGCCCCCTGTTTAAAAAGTTTGAGGACCCCTGCTATAGAACAAACTTGCTTAATTAGACCTGCTTTCTGATTTAGCTAAACTTTTTCCAGCCCAGTGAAGCACCCCAACTTCCCTTTTAGGTAATTGTCAGCAACACAGCAGTAAATATCAACACAAAGCTTATTATTGTAGATCACGCAGGGAGAACAAAGGGTAAAATATTTAACTGCAGCAGTGTTTGACTATATTCTGTGCAGTGAGAAAACCTGAAGTCATTTTCAAGGTCCACCATTTCTTTTCAGTCGGGTCAAGTTTCTAAGCTTTCTAAATCTCCGTTTTCTGGCTAATTAAAACAGGATTCCACCGAGTCTCCTATCCACCTACTGCAGGACTTCTGTGAGGATCAAATGAAATGAGGCACGGGAAAACGCTTCACAAACATTTGATTAAAGTGTAAAATGTTTGCACCTGGCTATAAAGCAAGTGGTGTTCATGGGCTGAAAAAACTCCAAGGAGGCTAGTTGCTAGGGAGAGGAAGCCGGGCATTGCTATGTGACATCATTACCCAGATGGAGGGAAGGACACAGCATATTAGCCTTTTATATAGATACTTTTTAAATTAAAAATTTTTTTTGTTAATCCTCACCTGAGGATAATTTTCCATTGCTTTTCAGAGTGTGGGAGGGAGGAAGCAGGTGGGAGAGAGAGAAACACATGAGAGATATAGTGGGGCCTTGACTTACAAGTTTAATTCGTTCCATGATGGAGCTCGTAACTCAAATTACTTGTATGTCAAATCAAAAAGTGAACAAGTGAGACACGTGATGCTGGGCTGATGTTGTGGCATTCACTGTGACGTTCGCTGTGCCAACTAGCGGTGGTGTATCTGAAGCTGGCTCATAACCCGAATTTTAGCTCGCAACTCAAAGCAAAAAAATCAGCCGAGAGACGGCTTGTATCTCGATAAACTCGTTAGTCGGGACACTCGTAAGTCAAGGCCCCACTGTATATCGATTGGTTGCCTCCTAAGCAGGTATGTACCCTTGACTGGAATCGAACCCGAGACCCTTCAGTCCAAGGGCTGATGTGCTAACAGCCAAAGCACCTAGGGCTCTTCTGCCCATTTTTAATCATTTGGCATTTGTTTTTTTGGATTGATTTGTACACCCCCTGCTGGGGATTGAGCTGCAACCCAGGCATGTGCCCTTGACCAGAATCGAACTCGGGACCCTTCAGTCCACAGCCCAATGCTCTATCCACTGAGCCAAACTAGCTAGGGCTATATAAGTTCTTTATACATTTTGGATATTAAACTTTTATTAGATATGTGATTTACAAATATTTTCTCCCATTCTGTAGATTGCCTTTTATTTTGTAATGTCTCCTCTTTCATTTATAAATTTATTTGAGGATAAAGATACCTGTCTCACAAAATCATTAACCTTGTATCTTGCAATGTACCTAGCACTGCACCTGGCATAAAGCGGGCTGTGTAGATGTATCTTGCAATGTGTCTAGTGCTGTGCCTGGCACATACTTAATCCTGTGGTGTATACTTCACATTCTTGCAAAAGGAGTGGTTATAAACACCCAAATTCGTGTTTTCCTAGAAGATTAGGAAACTTCAATGTAACAGGTTTCTCTACAGAAGATTAAATTATATAAAAAGTATACTAAATGTCTATATTTGTTCAGAACTTGTTTTATTCAGATCTATGTTGGAACAGTATTTGATATTTGATCATATGTCTACCATATGTGTAGGAATCAATGGTAATATGTAATGATACATATAAATGTTCTGTGAGACCAGAGAGACAAAATTTAGAAATTGGGCTTGTTTCATGAAATCCGGGCTATATGCCCATCACAAGGAACTGTGTATCATATGCAGAGTATGGTATTGGCAGTGGCAGAGGAGGCAGCTGCTCAGGAGAGGTGTGGGAAGGCTTTTGCACAAAGCGCTCGCTCTTAGTCCAGCTCCTTTATGCCCAAACCCTCAGCTCTCCTGGCATTCCGAGACCCTATCATCCAGGAAGAACCACTTATACATTAAATCATTGTATCAAGGCAATGAAGTGGGATGTATTGGGCTTTTCCTAAAAGCGGATTGTTAGTCGGTGGCAAGAGAAAAGACCTAGAGAGCAGAGGATGGAAGTCCGATTTCCTATTTCACAGGTGACTGGGCTCTCTCTGGTGGTATCAAGAAGGAGAGAAATTTCTACATAGTTTAACAACAGAGAATGCCTGTTTCTGGCTCATAGGTAATGGGACTTTTCACTAATTGGATGAAAATATAACTACTGAAATGTCCTCATCTACGTATCATCACCAGTAAAGCAATCTTGGGGGGATTATATTAACCTTTTAAATTAATGTTTCTCTTTTTTAAAATAGGAATAATCATAAGAAATGAATTTTAATGTCTGGAATATCAAAGATATGCTCAGTATTCCCTCAACCTCTGGGTAAGTTTTTCAGTTATATAGACTGATACTTAAAGATCTTTTAGTTATATTTATTTTATAGAAAAAGGCTCCCCTTCCTGTTGGTTATAGAGTTAGCATATAGTTTCTTCCCCTTGCCTGCCACTGCTGCACCCTCCCATACTTGTCTTTTTCCTTTCACCTATTTTATGATGATAAAAGCACTGTCGATTCAGCTATGTGTGTTAATTGAGCAATGACTCTGTCCAGCACGGGCCTAGGGACTATGATGCCCAGGGACTGTGAGAGTTAGAGTCTGCTTGGGCTACCAAAGCACAGGACCATAAATGGATGGCTTCACCAACAGGAATGTTCTCAGGTGTGGAGGTTGGAAGTCCTAGAACTTGATGCCAGCATAATTAGTTTCTGGGGGAGGTCCCTTCCTGGCTTGCTGTGTCCTCACATGGGGGGAGGGGGGAGAGAGAGAGCCAGCCCATCATGAGGGACCCACCTTCATGGTGTGTATGTTGTATGTTTAAAAGTTTATATAAATGGTATGTAATAGTGCTCATTTAGTTTTTACTTTTTTCTGCACTCAAAATTAGATTTTTGAGACTTATTCATGTGGTTATATGTAAATCTAGCTTATTGCTTCAGTTATATGCATATGCCATATTTTATTTTTTATCCCTTTAGTGATGAAAAGATTCAACTTTTAAAAAGATA